CGGGCGGGGGGCTCAGCAACGGCGCCTCCACGCCGGTGAGCGGCGACGAGGTCACGGCCTTGGAGGGCGCCAGGTCCCGCTCGCCCTCCTCCTCCTCGTCGTCGTCGTCTTCCTCCAGGTCGTCGTATTTATCCTTGCACTCGGAGCCGGATTCGCACAAGGGGTCCCCGGCGTGACACGGCAGCTTCTCCCCGTCGGACTCGGCCGAGCAGGAGTGGTCCGTGAGCGAGTCGACGTGCAGGCTGATCCCTGCGGGGAGGCGGGCGCCGTCGGTGGCGTGCGGGGCAGCCCGGGCACCTGGGGCCCCTCTNTCTGTTCAGTTAGTCTGGGTTGACAGTGCTCTGTGGCTCCTTCTTTTACAGTGGCACAAGATGCGGTCCGGGTGAGAGAGCGGCTTTTTACGTCTGTGTATTTATGAAGTTGGGAAGAAAGAATGGCCTGCTGACTTTTTTTTTCCAAAGCAATTGTGACACCTACCTGTGGACCAAGGAAAAAACCAAATCATCCCAAATCCTTCAGTTCCACACCAACATCACCGAATTATAAAAAGGCGTCATCTGAAAGGGTTTGGCCTCTTTGCCACCTTCAAGATGTGTACTAAGTAATTTTGCCTATTTATAAAAATAGGTGTTTTGTTTTTTTTAAGTACTGCTGTGAGCCAGAGGATCTGCAGGGTCCTATCAAGTCCATCTGGACACAGGGGGGTGGGCCTGTTAACAGAGGAGTGCTTCTTGTCTCTGTCTTACTATGCAAACATCATCTAGAAAGGCTTCTGATACCAAGTTTCAGTAACACTAGCTCATCAAAGCAAGTGTCTATTCCATGTCTAGTGGAGCAAAAACACTCCATATTGCACACGAATTCCCAGATTGAGGGGGAAAAAAGTATATCTATATATTATATCTATATATCTATATCTATATCTATATCTCTATATCTATATGAGTGTGTATGTATATATATTCATTCCAGTTAAAGGAGTGATTCTTCAAAGCAGAACTTGAGCAAAAAAAGAGGGACTCTACAAAAGAGAACAAATCCTCTCCCACTTAAAGGAAAAAAAGACCAAGAAGATTGCAAGGCTGTCTTCAGACCCCATGGCAAGAAGCAAGAAATAGACATTAAGCAAGTTTACAGAGCAATTGGTACAGGGAGGCTCCCCCAGGGTGGGCGGAAACACCAGGGGGCCCACTTACTTGCATTGCTGTGCATGGCCCTTCTATAGGTAGGACTGGATGCCCCCACCAACCACGGTGCAGCCCTCACTGGCATCTGTCAGGGGAGGGGGCAGTTAGTCAGAACCAACCCATAGCCATCTATCTCCCAGACAGCAGCACAGCCACCAGCCCGCACACCCAGGAACGCTTGCTCCCTGCATGGGGCAAACAGTAAGGTGGACCTGACCGTCCACCACTCTGTGTCCTAGACAGATTTTGGTCACCTTTCTGAGTTCTCATTTTCTTACTCCCTTGAGCTCCTTTTACAGGTCTTATCAGCTCAAACCTGAATTATGAGCAACAGAGGCAATAGAGAGAAAGGGAAAGAAAGGGGAAAAAAAGGGCTCTGTTTTTCTATTTTGAAGAACTAAGGCCTCTGGGAATAACTGGAACGTTTTGTTTCCTTCCAGCCAAAGGCAGGAGGAGAGACTCTATTAACAACACACTGAAGCTGGAGCTCAGTCAGCGGGGAGACAAACTATAATTTGCATTTCGTGGCAGTCTCCGTTTGCCAAACGAAAACTGCCACGACGATGATGGCCATCATAATAAGTAAGTAAATAGGAAAAAACAGGGAGGGAGGTCTCCTTGCAAGGCAAGGGCCGCCTGGCCCTTCCCACCTCTTTTTAGTGTCATCATTTGCTTCCCTCCTAACTTTTAGTCAAAGGGTGGCTGGTGCCCGTGGTCTTTTTCCGTTTCTCCTCTTAAGTGACAAAGGTTTCTCCCGCACACCCACGGGTCTCCCGGCCCCTTCCCGGCAGTGCTGCCTAGCGGGGCGATGGCCGTCCCCCCCAGAGGACCCGCGGCCCCAGCAGCCTACCTTTCTTGGGCTCGTAGCCGCCGCCCGGGGGCCGGTAGTGCGGCTCCAGCGGATGCGCGCCTGCCTTGCCCGCGTCGCTGGCTGCCTTG